CCGTCTTCACCTGTTCTCTAAACTTCCAGCTCGCGTATACCAAGAGAGATCCGCGACGCGACTACCGTCGACGGTTCCCGTTAACGGAAAGAGAGCGTCCCGATGATAAGTGTCGCGTCCTCGTGATCCGCGTCCTCTTCGAGGTCCCTCCTCAATTTCTCTTCTCGCTTGATCCGAAATCGTATACATTTTTTTCCCCTTAATTATTTACGCTATTCGCCGATGGTTCTCGCGTTTCTTCGTTTTGCGGAACGCGTGTCCCGAGACGCTTCGCGCGGACTTCTCGGTGTTCGTCCTCGAAGAGGAGAACCGGCGCGTGTACTCGCGGGACGGCGATCTCGCTCGATAGCCGGTCGCGGTGTCGGCGAGTTATCGAATCTCGTGGAAATCTCGTGTATCGTTGATCGCATCGTAGAGCTCCCGATCGAATCGTTTCTCGAAACACGGCGAAGACTGAGCCGCGACCCGCGGACTCGGGAGACATCCGGGGAACATCTCCCCCGTGAAGCTCCGGACGAGAACCTTGGGAAAGAAAGTGGACAAAAAGCTCGCGTGTAAGTCTCGGAATGGACGGCCAAACGAAAATTAGCAGTTACTTGGCGCGCGAGCGTTTAAAACAAGCGTATCTAGTCAGAAATATTCCTCTATTAAGTCCGACAATAAAATTCGTCGCTAATCTTCGTTCCAGCGATCCATCCTTAACGATAATCAGTCGATGTGTATATTTAAAGCGCGCTCGCCCGTTCTTTCACTCTCATTCTCTCCCTTTTTCTCTCTCGCTCGCATTCTCTCATCTATTTCTCTCTCTCTCTCTCTCTGTCTCTCTGTCTCTCTCTCTCGTTCTTCTTACCGTACTAGTATTACAATAACATTTTGATTAAATGACGCGTGTCGTAACGCGCGCAATCTCACGAGGGAAACCATCTTAATTATCGGAAAAAGGTGATGAACAGTGCGCCGCACGGGAAACCCGATCGAACCGAGGCCGAAACGGGAACGGATCCTCTATGGAAAATCGATGGCTCCTTCCCCGATAACTACGTCGCCTCGATCTCACGCTGTGCGACCGGTGAAATTAGTCCCTAAGTTTTTGTTCTTCGGAAATCGCGCGTACGGGATGATTAATGAACCGTCTCCCCTTTGCGTACGATGCTCGTTCGATCCGCGACCGGAAATCGGCAGAACGGTCCCGGCGAACGTTCATCCGTGAAATATCAATCAACCTCGGGCATTTCTGAACGACAAACACTCGTGTCCCGTCGATGAGAAACTCGCAAATCTATTTCTTCGAATTGTTCGAAAGCCTCCCAAGAAACTTAGGATTCAACGTACTAGGTTCACGGATATCCAGTTTACTCTATCGTCCCTCGAAAACTTGATGTGTCCACGCGAATCTCAGAAATCAGAGATTCAGAACTAAACAATTACAACCCCCATTCGTATAAAGTATCAATGAAAATCGTAAACATACACGATCGCTAGCCAGCCCGAAACTAGAGGCTGATCGACGAGCCGAGGACGGCGAGCCGGACCGTCTCGCTCTGGTAGCCGCGCGGAAGGCGAAAGAAGGATGGAAATCTTTAATCATCTCGTAGAAGCGAACGGTCGGTGTCCCCGGGCGAGGCTCGATTATCGTTCCTCGGCGAAGCCACGTCGCGACGTCGGATAATAACGATTATGCGAAATGATTACCTGAAACGCGCGCGGCAGCGGACCTGGCCAGCCCCCCCGATGCTCGTCGTGTCCGTGTATATGTCCGTGTGTACGTTCGTCTATGTGTCTCTCCGTGTGTGTATATATCATATGTATATATATAATCCAACGTATCAAAAATATTCCGCGAATCTTTGGAAAGCAGGCTTCGTAATTAGTTACGCGGCGGCTAGCCGAAGCAACGGTTCATATTCTAATTAAAAAAGTGGAAGCGTGGCTCGACGTGGAACCGTTTTCCGTCTCGCCTCGCCTCGTGGAACGGTAGAAAGGAGAGGGGAACAGGGAGGGGAACCGTGGAACCGGGGGAAACAAGAAAACCGGGTGGGAAACGATGTAACCTGCGTCGCGCCCTCCCCGCGAGAGGATCCTCGGGTTTCCCGCGTGGACTCGTCTTATCGATACTTATGTCGGAACGGGTTCGAAACAGTCATTAAAATCGTACGTATAATTATTCGTGGTTCATCCCGTCTCTCGCTCCGCTGTCTCCCTGTCACGCAGCCCCACACACGCAAGCACACACACGCACACGTGTCGCACGCACTCTGTTCCTCCCCTATAAGTCACACTGAATTACGTATTCTTTGGTAGAGCGTGGAAGATGCTTGCAAACTTCAGAGCACCCGCGCGACGAACCTCGCGCTCCTGCTTTGTATTTACGGCAGAACCCGCTGAAACGACGAAATGCTTACGAATTTCCCGTGAAACCTTCCGACGGTCCAACTCGAGTTGGTGTTCTCTGGTTATATCGGTTTCTTACGGGACATCCGAGTTCCATAGATATTAGAGGACTCGATCGGTTTGCAGAGGCTCTTATCGTATACACAACGCAGTTAATCGGCGTGGTAACGAAAACACGAACGGAACAAACTCGTTTCACCGTGATCTCGAACTATCCCCTTCGCCTCTGTCTTCGATTCTCTCTCCCCTGTGTCTCTCAGTTGCCATCGGGCACCCTTAATAATACGTATATTTGATTTAGCGTCTTTTGTTTCCCACCCACCCCTTTCGTATCGTTCCCACATTGACATCGTTTCGACTTATAAAAATTGGACCTGAATTTTTTGTTTCTTTTCTTCTCCCTCTTTTTCTCTCTCTCACACACACGCACATACACTCTCTCTCTTTCTTGCTTGCTTTATCTATTTCTATTTTATACAACGTTTTTCCCTCTAGCTTCACCTCGCACCCCGATTTCATCCCGCGAAATCATTGTCGCCCAACGAGCGAATCCCCGGCACTACGTTTTATTTAATCGACCAATTAGTTATTGACGCT